TGAGATCTTTTTAAAATTTAAAACAACTGTTTTCTATTTTAATATATTTTAAAACGCCATTATATTTTAAAATGTATTCCTGTGATGGAGTAACTGATTATATACTGTTTTCAGGATTATTTGATGAACGTAGTTTTTTTTGCAACATTATAAATCTATTTACTGTCATTTTTGATCAATTTAATGCATCCTTACTGAATAAAACTAATCATTTATTAAAAAAAAAAATCTTTAAACGTGTTTGTGTGGATATTATATAATATCCACACACAACGTGTAAATATACATAACATACACAACAAATTTCTTTGCAGCATTGGGCCCATATGTGTGTGTGGGTATATATATATATATATATATATAATACCCACACACACACATATATATAACGTGTAAATATACATAACATACATACCAAATTTCTTTGCTGTCTTGGGACCATATTTTTTAATGGCTTCAACTCCTTTATTGATCATGTGAACTCTAAAGCTCACTCCTTCCGACAGCTTGAGCAACTCTCTGTGAGTCTAGAGAAAAAACGCTAGTCTTAATTGCATTCTGTATGTCAGTCAATATGTTTAAACTACCAGCAATATATAGATTATTTGAAGTAGTCTACAGCAATAATTAGCCTGAGGTGGGCTGAAGGTTTACCTGAGTGGCGAGCTCTCTGGTGGGGGAGATGATGAGGGCTCTGAAACCCTTGTTGAGAGGCTGGCGAAGGTGGGCCAGCAGGGGCAGACAGAAGGCCATAGTTTTACCGGAGCCTGTCGGAGCAGATGCCAGGATCTCCCTTTTCTAAAACAAGCAGATCCGTGGAATTAAAACACTTAAGAGAGGATCAGGAAAGCAAACGCATTTATATCTGATGCAACAGTAACATGTCATACATGCATCATGAGAGGAACGGCTTGCATCTGTATGGGTGTGGGGGTTTGGAAACCCGCCGCCTTGATGTTTTGAATGATTCGTGGGTCCAGATCATACTCCTGCTGCAGCTCCTCAAAAGTGGAAACAGGATCTGGAATGTCTGTCCCATGCACGTTAATCCGGTTTTGGTGCCGTATCCGATTCACCTAAAACACATGATCAATATTATAAGGAAACCCATCTGTTTGTTTTCCCTACACTCTTAAAAATAAAGGTGCTTAAAAGGTTCTTCAAAGCGATGCCATAGAAGAACCATTTTTGGTTCCACAAAGAACCATTCAGTCAAAGGTTCTTTAAAGAACCATCTCTTTCTTATCTTTTTATAATCTGAAGAACCTTCTTTCGCCACAAAGAACCTTTTGTGAAACAGAAAGGTTCTTCAGATGTTAAAGGTTCTTTATGGAACCATTTAGACAAAAAGGTGCTTCTATGGCATCGTGAAGCGCTCTTGCACCTCTTGCACATCACTCGCCTACTTAAGTTGATAGCAGGAGGGTCTTGATTTAGTAAATATTTAGGAGTCGTAGGAGTCGTCACCAATATATCTGGAAAACAAAAGTATTAAGAATAAGACAGTGAGTGAATCACTCTAAAACAGCAGTTCTCAATTTTTTGTAACCCCACAATGCCTGCAAACACCCATCAGAAACATAATTATGCTAAACACTCAAGGATCTCAAAGCAACATCCTAACTCATTGTTATTTTCAGTTCACCTTTGCATTAACTGCATTTTTTTAAATCAAAAATACAGTAATACTGTGAGATCTTTTTAAAATTTAAAACAACTGTTTTCTATTTTAATATATTTTAAAACGCCATTATATTTTAAAATGTATTCCTGTGATGGAGTAACTGATTATATACTGTTTTCAGGATTATTTGATGAACGTAGTTTTTTTTGCAACATTATAAATCTATTTACTGTCATTTTTGATCAATTTAATGCATCCTTACTGAATAAAACTAATCATTTATTAAAAAAAAAAATCTTTAAACGTGTTTGTGTGGATATTATATAATATCCACACACAACGTGTAAATATACATAACATACACAACAAATTTCTTTGCAGCATTGGGCCCATATGTGTGTGTGGGTATATATATATATATATATATATAATACCCACACACACACATATATATAACGTGTAAATATACATAACATACATACCAAATTTCTTTGCTGTCTTGGGACCATATTTTTTAATGGCTTCAACTCCTTTATTGATCATGTGAACTCTAAAGCTCACTCCTTCCGACAGCTTGAGCAACTCTCTGTGAGTCTAGAGAAAAAACGCTAGTCTTAATTGCATTCTGTATGTCAGTCAATATGTTTAAACTACCAGCAATATATAGATTATTTGAAGTAGTCTACAGCAATAATTAGCCTGAGGTGGGCTGAAGGTTTACCTGAGTGGCGAGCTCTCTGGTGGGGGAGATGATGAGGGCTCTGAAACCCTTGTTGAGAGGCTGGCGAAGGTGGGCCAGCAGGGGCAGACAGAAGGCCATAGTTTTACCGGAGCCTGTCGGAGCAGATGCCAGGATCTCCCTTTTCTAAAACAAGCAGATCCGTGGAATTAAAACACTTAAGAGAGGATCAGGAAAGCAAACGCATTTATATCTGATGCAACAGTAACATGTCATACATGCATCATGAGAGGAACGGCTTGCATCTGTATGGGTGTGGGGGTTTGGAAACCCGCCGCCTTGATGTTTTGAATGATTCGTGGGTCCAGATCATACTCCTGCTGCAGCTCCTCAAAAGTGGAAACAGGATCTGGAATGTCTGTCCCATGCACGTTAATCCGGTTTTGGTGCCGTATCCGATTCACCTAAAACACATGATCAATATTATAAGGAAACCCATCTGTTTGTTTTCCCTACACTCTTAAAAATAAAGGTGCTTAAAAGGTTCTTCAAAGCGATGCCATAGAAGAACCATTTTTGGTTCCACAAAGAACCATTCAGTCAAAGGTTCTTTAAAGAACCATCTCTTTCTTATCTTTTTATAATCTGAAGAACCTTCTTTCGCCACAAAGAACCTTTTGTGAAACAGAAAGGTTCTTCAGATGTTAAAGGTTCTTTATGGAACCATTTAGACAAAAAGGTTCTTCTATGGCGTAATGAAGTACCTTTATTTTTAAGAGTGTAAATTGAAATTAGATCCATATCGCCACATAAATGCAAGTGAAAATGGTAAAATTGTCGTAATGCAATATATCCAAATACCATATCGGTTACCGACTAATTTATCAGTATCTGTATATATATATATATATATATATGGGACAATTAATTGTTTACATTTCCTCTAGTTTACCTTTTTGTTAATCTAAGACTCAATTTAAGCTAATTTATAAAAAATTAAAAAAATAACCCTGTTAATTGTAAACTAATAGCAAATCTCAAAATGAATATCCATTTTTCATACTGTACATTAATGTACTAAATTCAATGACAGCATTTATTGCAACAGTTTTTAGCTTTATTTTAATTTTTTAATGTTTTATTTAGCGTTTTATTTTTCAAAACAATACAGAATTTTAATGACGGCCATAACATTATTAGAATCGGCCAGAATTTTTATCATCCATAGATCTTTTTATGTGATTAATATTACAAGAATTTTCAACTGTGATCAACCAATCAAAAAGTGGTGTAAAAAGCAATAACAACTCTTTGTACCTTCTCCTGATGAAGCTGCTTTAGTCTTTTCAAGGAGGGCTTGTCTTTAGACTCCTTCTTGGGGTCTTTCACCTTGTCTTGCGATGACATCCATTGGATCCCCTCTCCCTCACTCTTCTCAGGCTCTGCATCTGTTTCACAACAGTAAGGCGAACGACCTGTTCGAAAACCCTAAACACTGAATTGCTAGCAATCAGAAGAGACTGAGAGAATATGACTTACCTTCGGATTTTTTCTTAGCTCCTTTCTTTTTCTTCAGTGCTGTCTTCAATGGCTCATCCACTTTAGTCCGTTTACCAGAGGCCTGCTCTTCATCACTCCCTTCTTTCTCTTCTTCACCATCATCTTCACTTAGTCTGGACTCCAGAGATGTGTTCTCTTGTGTCTCTTTGCCAAAAAAGCTGACTCCAGCCAGCTGATTTGAGCTGTCCTTGCTCTGAGACTTCACTACCTGAGAGGAGTTACACAAGAATTAATAATGACCAAATAAGCATGTGTTGATTTGTAACATATGTACAGTAGCAACCAGAATTGCTGTTTCTGTAATGCTGTGCAACACAGTAACCAAAGATGTTTAAAACTTGGTAAATGTCGATTATTATCTCATACTACTTGTTAATGCACTCTTTTAGCGATATTTGGGTTTACTCGGATTAGCATTAGCATTTCCAGGGACAGTCCATGGGAAATGGAAACACATGATAGCCATGTGGCAGCAGCTTAGGTCAGTAATTCACGTATTCCTTTCGTTTTACGTAACAACAGCCTAACATACGTTAACTTTCTTATGTACTTTGCATCGAAACCTACCTTAAACCGCTCTGCATCTTTAGCGAACCTTTTCAGATCAAACTTTGCTCCAGACCCAAGCTTTCTAAACAAGTCAAAGGCGTCCATTGAAACAAAATAAGACGCAAAGACGTGACTAATCGATCTCGCTTTTATGACCAGCACGCTCTCGGCGTTCGATTATTACACCTTTATTATCACTTTTGTCGTTCACTAGAGAGCGCCGTTTTTTTTTTGTTTTTTTTTTGTGTGTGTGTGTGTAAAACGTGAGTTCTTATTATAATGTTTAAAGGATAACATTTAAAAAAAAAAAAAAAATAACCCTGTTAATTGTAAACTAATAGCAAATCTCAAAATGAATATCCATTTTTCATACTGTACATTTATGTACTAAATTCAATGACAGCATTTATTGCAACTGTTTTTAGCTTTATTTTAATTTTTTAATGTTTTATTTAGCGTTTTATTTTTCAAAACAATACAGAATTTTAATGACGGCCATAACATTATTAGAATCGGCCAGAATTTTTATCATCCATAGATCTTTTTATGTGATTAATATTACAAGAATTTTCAACTGTGATCAACCAATCAAAAAGTGGTGTAAAAAGCAATAACAACTCTTTGTACCTTCTCCTGATGAAGCTGCTTTAGTCTTTTCAAGGAGGGCTTGTCTTTAGACTCCTTCTTGGGGTCTTTCACCTTGTCTTGCGATGACATCCATTGGATCCCCTCTCCCTCACTCTTCTCAGGCTCTGCATCTGTTTCACAACAGTAAGGCGAACGACCTGTTCGAAAACCCTAAACACTGAATTGCTAGCAATCAGAAGAGACTGAGAGAATATGACTTACCTTCGGATTTTTTCTTAGCTCCTTTCTTTTTCTTCAGTGCTGTCTTCAATGGCTCATCCACTTTAGTCCGTTTACCAGAGGCCTGCTCTTCATCACTCCCTTCTTTCTCTTCTTCACCATCATCTTCACTTAGTCTGGACTCCAGAGATGTGTTCTCTTGTGTCTCTTTGCCAAAAAAGCTGACTCCAGCCAGCTGATTTGAGCTGTCCTTGCTCTGAGACTTCACTACCTGAGAGGAGTTACACAAGAATTAATAATGACCAAATAAGCATGTGTTGATTTGTAACATATGTACAGTAGCAACCAGAATTGCTGTTTCTGTAATGCTGTGCAACACAGTAACCAAAGATGTTTAAAACTTGGTAAATGTCGATTATTATCTCATACTACTTGTTAATGCACTCTTTTAGCGATATTTGGGTTTACTCGGATTAGCATTAGCATTTCCAGGGACAGTCCATGGGAAATGGAAACACATGATAGCCATGTGGCAGCAGCTTAGGTCAGTAATTCACGTATTCCTTTCGTTTTACGTAACAACAGCCTAACATACGTTAACTTTCTTATGTACTTTGCATCGAAACCTACCTTAAACCGCTCTGCATCTTTAGCGAACCTTTTCAGATCAAACTTTGCTCCAGACCCAAGCTTTCTAAACAAGTCAAAGGCGTCCATTGAAACAAAATAAGACGCAAAGACGTGACTAATCGATCTCGCTTTTATGACCAGCACGCTCTCGGCGTTCGATTATTACACCTTTATTATCACTTTTGTCGTTCACTAGAGAGCGCCGTTTTTTTTTTGTTTTTTTTTTGTGTGTGTGTGTGTAAAACGTGAGTTCTTATTATAATGTTTAAAGGATAACATTAACAATATTTATAAATGTCGACATTTTTAATGCATGCACAATTATTTTTTTAAAGAACATCTTGGACTTAATATTTTTAACATCTTGTAACAAAATCATTTTGTTATTTTATTCTTCCTAAATATTGGATCCTAAATATTAATTTGATATGGCTGAGTCACATTTTATGTCTAAATTCTACTACATTTAGGATAAACATAAGTTGCCAGGCAACAAAACAAATACACAAAAGATGTGTTGCAATATGAAGATTTAAAAAAAAAAATTTTTGTATCATCATCAGGATCTTTAAATCATTTATTGATATAAGTGAATGAAGCACTATGAGCAAGAGAGAGTTTAAACACAACATTCCAGAGCAATAAATCATTAACTAAAATAAAACTCTTCCTGTGACAGAAGGAAATATAGCAGTAGAAATAACTACTTCTCATGTGTTTGAGATAAGTTATCTTACAGTGTCTGTGTAACTCAAGTTCGCTTCAAGTTAGTCACATCCAAAGGAGAACTAAAACCTATAATAAAGAATGACGGCAGAACCATTGCATGATAATACTGGATATGAAGCAATCCAATAAGAAAACCCAGAATCACGCATAGCTGTACATGATTGTAACGAGGGAGGCGTGACGACAAAGTGGGGATCCAAATGCAAGGCTTTAATAAGAGCGTAGTCAAACAGGCGTGGTCAACAACAGCAAACAACGATGGCAGTGGCAAGGCAAAAGAGTAATCCAGATAATCAGGCAATGGTCAGGGCAGGCAGCAAAACAATCATAAACAAGAAAACAGTCCAGGGATCAAAACACGAAGGCAAGGAAACAGAGAAACTAGAAACACGGAAACTTAGAAACCACGGAAGAGCTATACAACATTCAATCACCAGCGATGACAGAGAGTGTGTGTGCTATTCTTATAGTCCTACTAATGTGAGACAGCTGTGAACTGATGATGAGATCTGATGAGAGACAGGTGATGCACTTGATGAGTCCGGGCAAAGGATTATGGGAAATGGAGTCCTGAGTGAATGGCAAGGTACAGAATGGAGATCATGACA